GGCCAGGTTCGGTGGCTCAGCCTGTAATCCCAGCACTTTGGGAGACTGAGGTGAGGGATTGCCTGAGCCCAAGGGTTCGAGACCCACCCAGGCAACTTGGTGAGATCTCGTCTCTACAATAAAAATAATTGGGAAAAAAAAAAAAAAACCAGACCCTTGCCTTGCTAGACTCTGGTGTAGCCATGTGCTCTTTGAGCTATGGCTGTCGCCATGCTTCCTGGCTTTGGCTCCCTCCCCCACCTTGGGGAGGTGAATCTTCTCTCTTCCTTCTCTTTCTCTCTCTAACTTACTTTTAGGCAAACTTTTCTTTCTTAACCTCTTTGTGTATTGCAATTCTTTGCATTTACTCAGATCTCTGGGTTACCGTGCTGCGTGCCTCCCCTCTCCACCACGCCGTCCTCACTCTGTCCGTACCCTAACAGGGAAATTTTTGCCCTTGGACCTGACTGGAAAGCACAAGCCTCACTAGAGAAAAATAAGATGTTCCAGATAGGAAAACAATAAGGAATTCGAATAAGAAAAAACTACCAAGGGGCTTGAGAGACTAGAAAGTTTTCAAGAAGAAACTCCTTGTCCATGAGAAAAGAAACATCTGCCAGTCATTTCTAGAAAATCTCCAGGTACACATTCTTCCGCCAGATGGAAATATTCTACATATGAACTGCTCCAAAACCCTGGGCCAGAAACTGTTGTTCTGGCCCCCAGAGACTTTAATATGGAAAAACCTGTTTCCCTGGATAATTTAAATATAGGAAGTTAAGTTTATAAGAGTTAAATTTGTTAGAAAGATTGTAATATATTAGTTAATTTGGGATTTAAGTTTTGTTTTAAGTGGAGTCGTTTAATGAGAAGGTTTATAATTTTATAATTTTAAGATTTTGTATTAACGGGTTGCAGGAACTGTTTTTTACAGGGTAACATCATTGTGTTGGGATTATGTTGTTTTGGGTGGAAATAGTCCCCGCCTTAGAGAAAACATTAGCCAAGCAGAGTAGAATACTTAAACTTAAGCATCGTTTTAACATCACAAAAAAACATGTAATTTGTTGTAAGTGATTTGTTTTGTAATGGTGATTTTGACTTGCTCTGTGGCAGCAACTTGCAGAGATTATTTCCCTTGTAGAGAGAAATATAAGCTCACTACTACTCGCAATAAAATGGCATCTGCACCCTTTAAAAAAACAAAAACAAAAAACAATTAGCCGGGCGTGGTAGCGCACACCTGTGGTTCTGGCTACTTGGAAGGAGCCCAGCAGGTCAGGCTGTGGTGGCCAGGAGCTTGCCACTGCACTCCAGTCTGGGTGACAGAGTGAGATTCCAACTCAAAAAATAAAAATACTGGGGGCCAGGTACGGTGGCTCACGCCTGTAATCCCAGCACCTTGGGAGAGGCAGGAAGATCCCTCGAGAAGGAAGGAGGGAGGGAGGGAAGGAAGAAGGGAAACTCATCTCCAAATAAAAAAATAAAAAGGGAACAGGGAAAAAAAACCAAAACACCCATATAATCTCTTCTTGCTGTGACAAGATGGGAAAGGAGACCCGGCCCAGGCCAGCACTCAGGAAGGGCTGAGAGGAGGCACTTGAGTTGGTTCTTAGAAGACTATCAGGATAAACCAGCAAACACAAGGGGGTTAGGCAGATGAAACAGCACAAGTGAAAGCTCCGCATGGTCTTAAAACACCTACGCCAGAACACTAGGTGGTACTTAGGGTTTCAGGAGGCAAATTAAAGGAATAACGTTTGCTTGCCCCCTACTTCTCTTCCTCTACCTTCGATTTCCAGATTGGACACATCAGGGGACGTATGAACCACCGCCTTCAAAACAAGCTCTAGCACTAAAGATGGAACGCCACCAGAGCAGAGCCTTTTCTGAGTATAGGATAAAGAGAAAGGAGAACCATCAACCAAGTAGAACGAAGCAGAAAGGGTACACGGTGGCGTGCACCTGTAGTCCCAGCTACTTGGGAGGCTGAGGCGGGAGGATTGCTTGAGCCCAGGAATGTTAAGCCAGCCTGGGCATCATAGTGAGATTCTATTTCTTAAAAAAAAAAAAAAAAAAAAAAAGGTCAGGAAGTCTGGGCAACATAACCGGAAAGGTTTTTCTAGGGGTTTCCACCTAAAGCCCTTTAACAAAAAAACCCTGATTTTCCAACTTTTTCAAATATCCTCTTTCACCCCACTCCTAACTGCAGAACATTCATCTATAAATACGGACTACTGCAAATATGCTGAGTTAAAGACACCAGAGAACCATGAAGTGGCAAAAACATACTAGCATCAGATATACACAAGCCTTAGAGTCAGAATGTATGAAAGAAACTTAGTTTTCAAACTCTCCTTTAAAGGGAGTATTTAGGAGACCTAATGAAATACAGGCCAGATGTGATGGCTCAAGCCTGTAATTCCAGCACTTTCGGGAGACTGGGGTGAGAGGAACGCTTGAGCCCAGGGGAAGAGGACAGCCTGGGCAACATAGTGAGACCCCTGCCTCTGTTGAAAAAAATAAATCATTTTGTCTACAGTTCAACATGTTCTCAGTTTGAACTGATCTTCTTCTGATATACAACTTGTATTTATGACTGAAAGCTGAAAAGCTATGAGCGGCCACTGCACTCCAGTCTGGGTGACAGAGACTCCAACTCAAAAAAAAAAACAACAAATTATCTCCAAAGAAGATATACAAATGGCCAATAAGCATATGAAAGTTCGGCATTATAATCATTAGGGAAATGTGAGTCAAAGCCACAATGAGACAGCATTTCCCATCTACTAGGATAGCTATATGCTTTTTAAATAGGAAAATAATTGCTAGCAAGGACATGAAGAAATCAGAACTCATACTTTGCAGATGGAAACAGAAAATGGTGCAGCCACTGTCGAAGTTTAGCAGCTCCTCAAAGTTAAACACAGAAATACCATATGACCCAGCAATCTCACTCCTCTGTGTGTACCCAAAAATATCAAAAGGAGATTTTTTTTTTTTGAGTCAGTCTCATTGTGTCACCCAGGCTGGAGTGCAGTGGCACTCATGGCCACCACAGCCTCAACTTTCTGGACTCAGGTGATCCTTCCACCTCAGCCTTTCAAGTAACTGGAACTACAGGCACGCATCCCCATGCCCGACTAATTTTTTGATATACTGTTGAGACAAAGTCTTACCAAGTTGCCCAAGCTGGTCTCAAAGCCCTGGACTCAGGCAATCCTCTTGTCTCCATCTCCCAAAGTCTTGGGATTACCGGCGTGAGCCACAGTGCCCGGTCATAAGTAGGGATTAAAACGGTTGTGCACCAATGTTCAAAGCAGCATAATTCACAATAGCCAAAAGGTGGAAACAACCCAAGTAAGCATCACAGATGAATAGGCAAATACGGTATACACATATAATGGAATATAACTGTCATAAAAAGGAATGAATTTTGATATTTGCTACATGGATGGACCTTAAAACATGCTAAATGAATTAAGGCAGACACAGGACAAATACTGTATGATTCCACTTATGTGAGGTACCAAGAACAGACAAATTCACAGACAGAAAGAATTGTGGTTACCAGAAGTTGGGGGGAGGGGAGAATGGGAAGTTATAATTTAAGATACAGAGTTTATGTTGGTGACTATAACATTTTGGGGACACATTATGGTGAAGGTTATACAACATTCTGATTGCACTTCAATGCCCCCCAATTGTGCACTTACAAATGGTTACGATCATTTTTTTGAGTTCGAGTCTGTTTGCCCAGGCTGGAGTGCAGTGGCACACTCATGGTCACCATAGCCTCAACCTGCTGGGCTCAGGCGATCCTTCCACCTCTACCTTTCAAGTAGCTGGAATCACAGGCCTGTGCCACCATGCCCAGTTAATTTTTTGATTTTTTGTAGAGATGAGGTCTTGCCAAGTTGCCCAGGCTGGTCTCGCGCCTGGACTCAGGCAATCCTCTTGCCTCCCAAAGAGCTGGGATTTACACCCACCCAGCTAATAAATATTATTTTATATATATTTTTTGCCACAATAAAAAAACCCAAATTATCAAACAACAATCAGTAATTAAAGGTTACTACAGGTATGGCATTAGGCCAAAAGATAAATGTATGTTTACGGTACCCACGTGAATTTATTCTCTATTCCACACAGATGCAGGCAAATGGAGAATGACTAACATCATGCCCTCTAGAAGGCCACAAGTCACTTCCAATACAATCAGGAAAATGGCCTATTTTGAAATGCTAATCCATTTCCAGGCCAAATCGGACCCCAAAACACATCATTTATGAAAGTTAGATTCAGAGGACTTGAAACACATTAAAAACAATACATATTTTATTTTCAAGCACATAATAAAGACCCAACTTTTTCAGTGCCACCGTGCCCTCCAAGAATTCTTCATACAGAATTGGGTATACGGGATGCAAGTTATGTCGGTGATGTTTCTGATGGTCACAAATCAAGACACAGTAGCCAGCTTTAAAAGTTTTGTACCCAACATCCTCAAAACCAAGACATAGCATATTTTACTTTTTTTTTTTTTTGAGTTGGGAGTCTCTTGTCACCCAGGCTGGAGTGCAGGCTCATGGCCACTGCAGCCTCCACCTGCTGGATTTAGGCGATCCTTCTGCCTCAGTCTTCCAAGTAGCTGGAACTACAGACACACGTCACCATGTCCAGTTAGTTTTTTTGGTGATTTATTGTAGAGATGAGGTCTTACCAAGTTGCCCAGGCTGGTCTCGAACCCGCAGGCTCAGGCAATCCTCTTGCCTTGGCCTCCCCAAAGTGCCGGAATTATAGGCTGAGCCACCACGCCTGGCCCATATTTTACTTTCAAGGTATAAATATTTTACCACGTCCTTCAATCCATAAAGCACTTCACTGTGAAATGACCCATGTTGATTCTGCACAATTTTTCTCATACATAATTCACTTCAAGTAGATGACGAACTAACTATAAAACATGCATTATTTGAAATATGTGAGCATGAAAAGTAGAAATCCACAACTTATCTTAGAAGAAAGAATAAGTTCCAGGAGGTTTTTATTGTTTGAATTATAGAACACACAAAACCAGGCGAAGTCCCCAAAGAAATGACGGTCATATTTCATTGTTATTTGACCTTTGGTCCTTCACTTTTTAAGCAGTTACTTATTTTCTTTCATTGGCTTTAGACATTTATTCTGATCACAAATGCAATCCAAGTGTGAATAAATAAATGCATTAACTTTTAACCCCTCCCCTCATGGTTCCTTTAATAGAAAAAAGTGCTAAATGTCTCTTCATAGCCTATTGGCCATAGTTGTCCCACCTATGGTTTTAAAAACAGGCTGTAACTTGATCTTCTGAAATCCTTCTCGAGCTACAGCTCATTCTGTTAAAGAAATCCTGGGAAAGAAGTCCTACTGATACTGTCGATAGTCTCCAAAAGGTGAGGATGGCAACTGGGTTGAAGGCAACTGAGAGGGGTCTTCAGCAAACTGAGGACCTGCAATTAAGAAATAAAAAGGATTTCACAAATCATCTGATTATATAATTAAGAACAAGTCTCTATAGAGTATATCAATCAACTAAAAAATTAGATGCTGCATTAGAGCTGTCATCTGAATTTCTTTATAGATCTGTCCAGTTCCCATGAGAATACTGGAGAACCCTCAAACTTGGTATGACAGATTGGCTTGTTATGCTCCAGAATGAACAGCTCTCAAATGCTATGCCAAGAAAGTCAGATGGATTAATTATAACAAGAAGCAATGCTTGAGTTTTTAAAGCAACTGCTGTAACAAGCTGCCATATATCAAAATTGGAAGACTCTCTCCCACCTCCTGACATATTTTTCAGTAGCTGTTTAAAATTATTTCCATGGAATGCAAGTTATCTTAGTCATGTTTTAAGAGAACTTAGTAATTCAATTTATATAACCAATTAAGTAGGGAATGAGCTTGGAAATGGGAAGACACTTCCAAGCTTGCTGTAGAACAAAATCTTAATGTTTTAGTTTTCAATGGATGGGAAGGCCTGTGAACTATGAAAAAAACCATGGTTTTAAAAAAAGACCTAAACAAGCCGGGTGCAGTGGCTTATGCCTGTTATCGCAGCACTTTGGGAGGCAGAGGCAAGAGGACTGCCTGAGTTCACGGGTTCAAAACCAGTCTGGGCTACTTGTCGAGACCTCATCTCTACAACAAATAAAAAAAATTAGCTGGGCGTGGTGGCTTGCGCCTATGGTTCCAGCTACTTGGAAGGCTGAGGTGGAAGGATTGCCCAGCAGGTCAAGGCTGCGGTGGCTTTGAGTGTGAATTTCTGCACTCCAGCCTGGGTGACAGAGTGAGACTCCCCCCCCCGGAAAAAAAAACACAACAAAACACCAAAAAGCAAAACAAAACAAAAACTTAAACAAAGAGCTGAGTACCACATGTTCTCACTCATAAGCGCACCCTGAACAATTATCATACTACTATAAAAAAGGGATTGGCAGCCAGGCTCGGTGGCTCAGTCTGTAATTCCAGTGCTTTGGGAGGCCGATGTGAGTGGATTGCCTGAGCCCACAGGTTCGAGACCCACCTGGGCAACTTGGCGAGACCTCATCTCTACAATAAATCAAAAAAAATTAGCTAGGCGTGGTAGCACGCGTCTGTAGTTCCATCTACTTGGAAGGTTGAGACAGAAGGATTGCCGGAGCCCAGCAGGTCAAGGCTGCAGTGGCCGGAAGTAACAACTACACTCCAGTCTGGGTGACCCAGTGAGACTCCAACTCAAAAAAAAAAAAAAAAAAAAAGGGGGACAAGGGAAAGAAACTGCCTGCCGGGAAACTGTCGGGGGGGGCAGGGGGAGAAGAGGGAGGGAACACACTTCATCAATTAGGGAACTGATCTCAAACCAGGTGAAGTAGGGATCAAAGTGAGGCTCAAACTTCACCTGTATAATGACCATTTGTATATCTAATTCTGGTGTACACCACACATCTTTAAAATAAAATTAAAACATGACTTAGAGGATCAATCAATCTTTTTTAGGAAAACTGAAGTAGTAGACTAAAAAATATCTTGGGCCAGGCGCATTGGCTCAAGCCTGTAATCCTAGCACTTTGGGAGGCCAAGGTGAGAGGATTGCCTGAGTCCACAGGTTCGAGACCAGCCTGGGAAATTTGGCGAGACCTCATCTCTACGATAAAATTTAAAAAATAGCCAGGCGTGGTAGCGTGTGCCTGTAGTTCCAGCTACTTGGAAGGCTCGCCTGAGCCCAGCAGGTCAACACTGGGGTGGTCGTGAGCGTGCCACTGCACTCCAGCCTGGGTGAGACTCAAAAAGGCGAGGGGGAAAAAAAAAAATCTTGAGGGAAGAAAGAGGGCAGCGATAAAATTTTCTGAGACTTTCCAAGTGCTTCACTGCAATCACATATTTTTATTTCATTATAAAAGCAAAATCTGTTAATTATTAAAAAAAACTTACAAAGATACTGGGTAAAAATGATACACCAAACAATTATTGTTGTCATCCACTTATAGTTCTAGCTAGTGTTTTTTTCACTTTTTCATGTAAGTTCATTGGAAAAATATAATGAACTTTTATTTATTTATTTTTAATTAACTTTTCAAAGATTTCCCCCCACCCCACAGCTTTTCAGAAACACATCTCCGGTCTAAAAATAAACACAGTTCTTTTAGGTTGCTTCCATATAAATGCTGAGTTTTAATTACTCAAAAGGAGTTTCTTCCTGAGAAAAAAAGGTCTTAAAGTAACAAGGCTAATTCCTGTAAGACAATGTAACTATTTAAGTTTTTGTTATATCCATTTCCGCATTTCTGCAAAATGAGACTGTTTCAGGTTTTATGTGAGATCTTTCACTCTAAAGTGGTCAACACAAATTAAAAAGTATAATTGGAAACTGACCATTGTAACAGAGTGTTAACTCAGAAGGGGTGAAAAACAGAAACAAAGTGAGGGTTCACAAGGTCATCAAGGTCAGCCTACTGGCACCTAATAATTGGTGCACTTGAAAATTGTGCCAAAAAACCCCCGAATCTCTCGCTAGGTGCCTTAGAGAATCAAATCAAACTGGGAGCTATGATCTATTCCTAACTCTATGCTGAATCTTCTCCAAGCTCCAAAAATAAATTCCAGCATGTCTCACTATTCTACATATTTCCCACCCAAATACCAGGTCAAGTTTTCACTACTATAATCCTTACGATATCTTTCCGCTTCTTTCCAATGTCAATGGATATTTTCATTTAGTCACTGATTATTTTATACACACACACACACACACACTTTTTTTTTTTTGAGTTGGGAGTCTCACTCTTGTCACCCAGGCTGGAGTGCAGTGGCACGCTCATGGCCACCGCAGCCTTGACCTGCTGGGTTTAAGCGATCCTTCCATCTCAGCCTTCCAAGTAGCTGTAACTACAGATGCTCGATTATTATATTTTTAAAGAAGAGACAGGGGTCTCATTTTGTTGCCAAGGCTAGCCCCAAACTCCTGAACTCAAGTGATCCTCCTGTCTCAGCCTCCCAAGTAGCTGGGACCACAGGTGCAGGCCAACGTGTCTGGCCAGCTGAGCAGATACTCTATGACAATGTAATGATCATTCAGCTCACAATTTAACTTTTCCCCTATGCATCAAATAAGATAAACGATTAACAAGTTATACTAACAACTTCTCAAAGAGACTTTTCCTGTGAGCCCCTAAGTAAGCCTCCCAAACGTGAGTCACTTTCTTTTTTTTTTTTTGAGTTGGAGTCTCACTCTGTCGCCCAGACTGGAGTACAGTGGCTGCTCCTGGCCACCACAGCCTCGACCTGCTGGGCTCCGGCGATCCTTCTGCCTCAGCCTTCTGAGTAGCCGGAATTACAGGCGCGCGCTACCACGCCTGGCTAATTTTTTTATTTATTGTAGAGATGAGGTCTCGCCTGTCCAGGCGGGTCTCGAACCCACGGGCTCAGGCAATCCATTCACCTCAGCCTCCCAAAGGCGCGGGATTACAGGCTGAGCCACCGAGCCCGGCTTGAGTCACTTTCTACCACTCAATTTTCTTTAAAATAAGCAATATTACCTACAATAATCTCATTTATCTGTTAATGTGTTTGTCTCTTTCTACCAGAATGTAAGCCTTTGAGGGCTAGGACTATCCTGTTCACTACTATACTCCCAGCACATAGAAAAATGCCTGGCACACAGATGTATATTAACTATCATTATTGTTACACAACTGCAGAACCTTTCTTCAAGCACCTTTAAAATGACCAGAAATTTCTTGGCATAAGCAAATGAGCACTGATAAAATAAGAACTATAAAGAAACATCAATAGTATATTATCCAACCAAAGCATTTTTGTTATTGTGGCTAAACATAATGGTTACACCCATGTCCATTTTTTCATCTAGTACCAGAGCCTATTATCATAGTCCTCATGAACCCATAGCATATTAATACACGGAATAGAAATCACAAACTACCACACTTCAGCAGACAAAATATGTTTTTGCTTAATAGCAAAGAACATTCCAAAACATATGAGCTATGGCTTAAGGAGAAAGAAGACTCACCATTGAGGAACTGTGCAGAGGCAAATCTTGTCAATAAGATACCAGCTCCTTCAATTAAAGCTAGAAGAATGCCACCCATCGCGGCTGACCCAACCATGGCCACTGGTCCATCTGAAGACATTCATAACAAAGAGATTACTTTAATGGAAACATTAAAGAGATAGTAAAGGGCTGTTGCCTTGCTAAGCCATGGTCTGGCCATATGTTCTTTGAGCTATGGCCACCATGTTTCCTAGCTTTGGCCCCCTCCCCTACCGAGGGGAGGTGAATCTTCTCTCTCTTCTCTCCAATTTACTTTCTAAATAAACTGTATTTTCCAATCTTTAAAAAAAAAAAAAAAAAAAGAAATAGTACAGAAAGCTGTCCATATGGCTGGCTACATGTTCCCCAAACTCCCTTTCTCATTGTCCAAGACCTGGAGTTAGCAAACTATGCCCCACAGGTCAAATCCAGCCCATTGCCTTTTTTTGTAAAGTTTTACTGGAACACAGCCATACTGTCTTATGTATGTCTTAACTGTGGCTGCTTTCACACTATGATAGCAGAGTTGAGGATTTGGAAGGCCATATAGCCCACAAAGCTTAAAATACTTACTATGTGGCCTTTACAGAAATAGTTTTCAAACCCCTGGTCTAAACCACTAAGTCCAAAGGAATTCTGGTTTGCTTTCTGTCCCAAAGATCTAGAAGATGGTTCTAAGCTCTTTGTTACCTATGTGGTAGGTACTATTATTAATTCTAGAATACTGATGAAGAAATGACAGCACAAAAGTTTGGGTAAACTGCCCGGTCACAAAGCTAATAAATGGCAGAACTGGGACCTGACGTGTCCTTAACCACTGTAAGATACAGGTAAGAACTCTACATGCCCTCCTTCTAAACATTCCAAATAAATAGATCCCTTATATTTTTTCAAATCACAGCATACTATATATTTATTCTATACCAATGTTCAGTTTTATATATCACAGATTCATTCAATTAAGACAGATGAGGTGTTCCAAAAAGTGTGGCTTCTACTGGTGTGTCTAGCATGACCACTTACTTCTTGCTGCCAGGATGGCTCCTGTTAAGGCACCACTTGTGATGGAGTTCCAAGGATCTTCTTTTCCTCTGACTTGAACCATACTGCAGTCAATCATGGAAAACAGACCTCCCCAAACAGCAAAGCTACCTATTTTATTGCAAAAAGAAACAAATACTTAACTTAAATCTCATTTTTTTACCTTATAATTATGAAATGTTAGTCAAAAAAAGTTTAAACATTATATTCTCAAAACTCTTATACTCCAAACAAACGCATGCAAACACAAGTCTAAATAAACACTGAACAAAAGTCAGAATACTCATCTTTTGAGTCGGAGTCTCACTCTGTAGCCCACGCTGGAGTGCAGTGGCACACTCACAGCCACCGCAGCCTCGACCTGTTGGGTTCAGACGATCCTTCTTCCTCAGCCTTCTAAGTCACTAGAACCACAGGCATGTGCTATCACGCCTGGCTAATTTTTGGAAATTTATTGTAGATGTGAGGTCTTGCTAAGTTGCCCAGGCTGGTCTTGAACCCATGGGCTCAGGCAATTCTCTCACCCCAGCCTCCCAAAGTGCTGGGATTATAGGCGTGAGTCACTGCATCTGACCATATTTATCTTTTAAATTAAAGTTTGTACTGTATCATATCAGCTGGAAAATTAGCAATGACTCAAAGCCTAAAAGAAATAAGCCAGGCCAGCCGGGGTCGGTGGCTCAGCCTGTAATCCCAGCGCTTTGGGAGGCTGAGGTGAGTGGATTGCCT